TGTAAGCCAAGGTCTGGCTCCACCAGTTCAGCGTTCTCCTGCTTTCCACTGGGCTGAAGATACAAGGCCGAAGGATTCAGTTCCTTGAATCCCTAGGAACAAACAAAAATAAAAAAAACCCAGTACAGTCAAGAAAACCATGTTGTAACTAGCAGAAAGAATAAAAAGGACTCAGCACATTTCTGATAGGTTTTATGAAGAAGCGCACCACTCACAAGTTAGCTCCAAATTCTTGCAGAAATTGTCTTACTACGAAAATCAACTCCCCTCCCTCCAGCAACAAAATTATTCAGCAATGGCCCACTCCCCCCAAAACTGGGTGTACACATGCAAAAATACAATCATAGGATCTAATGCTGCCAAAACACGCACTCTGCATCTATTGATTAAACAACGAATACGGGCACTCCGGGCTGTAAAGCCTGACTTTCTGCTGAGATATAAAATCACGACGCTACCTTTCTAAGGGTATTCATAACCACACAGTTCTTACCAAAAGTTGAGTCAAGACATTCAGTTAATGACATAGATGGGCCTATGTCATAAATGCTCTCTGCACTGGCTTACAACTTGAATGTCTGTCCAAGGCACAATGTGCAATCTGCCACAGGTATGCTGTCCAACATGACACATTTCACTGGCAAAGTAAGAGACTTTTTAAGCCAAGACCACTTCTATAATTTAGTTTGTTAATGGCATAAGCAATCTTCAATGCCTAGAGCAGAGAAGGCCAAAATAATTTATTTAACTACCCTGTTCCTCACACAACTGCCCCTGCCACTACATAGCACTACATTAAGCCAGACAATAAAACCTAATCAACTTGTTCTAATTAATTTTTTGCATGAATCAAGGGCCTGAACTTATGACTAACAAAACTTGCTGGAATTAACAGTGAGTAGTGAAGTAATCAACATATTTCTTAACAACCTCGCAATTCCATCTCTGGCCCTAAGCTCAGAACATCTATAGCTATTTTACTTTTCCTCGTTATTTATACAAGATGTGTGTCAGTTCCAGATGAATCTGCAATACTAACAAGCTAATCAACTTAAAAATAAATAAATCGAGGCCTTCTAATCCACTGTTAAAAGGCATGATGAAAATAATTTGTTCTACTAAACCAGGACATCTCTGGTGTATCATCAGATTCCACCTTAACCAAAAGCGAGCTCTCACCATAGAGTTATACACAGTGGGATGCAGTCACAAAACGGTAAGTTACAGGAAAGCAGGGAATACCAGTTTTGCTCTTCAAACTACTTGCTTCAAGCTAAAGATCTTCCCATTACAGGCACCCAACAGATCCTTTCCCTGTCCTTCCTTTCAGCAGCCCACGCCTCCCTCCTGACCTGGGAAGGAATGTTCTCCCCGCAGATGTCAGCGCATCCCCCATTGCTCAAGACACAGTGGAAGTAGACGTCTTCCTCAGTGGATGTGTCACACAGGAAGAGATGCAAAACGCCATTCACATATTCATCTATGATGCCCACAAGCAACTTGGAGCCACACAGCTTCTTGAATAGGAGAGTTGCTGCCTTGGACCACGTACCCTGAAGAAGAAAGAAGAATGTAAAGTTACTATAAACAGACCAACACCCACTGGGTCTTTCCCTCTCAACATCCACAAGACTTTCCCTTGTGGGCACTTGTCAAAACGGCAATTAAGCCAGGTCAGGCTAGGACCAAATACAGCAAAGTCAGGCAGACAAGCTTCCCGGGACTGATCTAAATCAAACTACCCCAAAGCCTGCAATGCTAGTTACACTGGGAATGCTCTTTCATCCTAAATACCTATTTCCAACCATGGTTCGATGGCATTCACCAGTGATTTTATCACAGTTGCCTAAAATAGGGTTTTTTTCCCTTTTTTAAATTCTTGGAATCATGTGATTGTAAATGTTAAAAGTATCAAAAGTTTTTAAGATGCTGCTAAGCCTCACTGCAATGAAAATTGTGATTCTTAAACCCTCAAAAAGCAGAGGAAATAACTTTTTAAAAATAACGTCTTTAAAACACAAAGGAAGCAACTCTGCTTACATCCTTTCCTTCAGAGAGTGTATTTCTTAGGCTTCTTGACCAAAAGGTTTCCCAGCACAGAGGAACCTTCTTATGACCTCTATAATTCTTTGGCTATGCTGATTGCATCAAACCAATTCACTTAAAGCTCTGTCATAGAAGAAATTTTTAAAACAGAGGGCTGGAGCTACCAAGGCTTTAGAAGGACCCTGGAGAATGACTGGCAGGGGGAGAAACAAGTCTGCTCATTTGCTTAACAGCAGCTATCTGTTTCTGCAACAATATAAGCAAGAATACTCTAAGCACAAGGAAAAAAAACAGCAGAAGGGTGATCACTTGCAGAGACAAGAGACTTAGCAGTCATACTCTGCTGAACATAACAGCAACAACTCTGCTGTAAACACCAGTGGGACCTGAATTAATTCAAATGTTTGTTCTTATCAGGAGAAAAAGGCAACCTCTACTTGATAGCTCTCGTACATATATTAATAAACAAAACTGCATGTGAACACATACCTCCACAGGTTTTGCCCATGCCAAGGAACATGGGATGGCCTGAGCAGGGAGCTTCAAGTAGCACCACCTACAAATACAAAACAAAGCCATCACCATTACAGTAAAAACAGAGCAAAACCAGGCAGAAGAGCAGAACCTCCTCCTCTTCTGGGTTTTACAATCAGCTTCGGAATAGAGGGGCACATACTGGATTTTGCACTTATGACTAAAACCCAAGAGCAGCTTTGGAAGACACTCCATAGCCAGAGAATGGGCAGAAACAGCAATAACAACTGGTCCCTTAGGCCTTCCCTTGCCCAAGCACCTTCCCAACAAAATCCCTTACAATTACAAAGTTATGGACAGAGCCCAATGACTTTTGAATCAAAGAATGCCAATGGCCAGGCACAAACAGAGGCAAATGAGGGGGAAGAAACAAATATGGAAAAGGTACCGAACTGCAAAGGGGAACGAGCATCTCTGACACTGCAAATGTTTCCCACATGGACTGATGCTCGTTCAGGAGGACGTTTACATCCATTCACAGAACCCAGGAGGGAGGATTAGGGAGTTTGCCCCAAAGTGACAGAAAGCAGCAAGAGGAAAGACTGAGAAATGAAGGCAGAAACGGGAAAGGATTTAGCCCAAAGTCACTGTGAGGGAGTGACAGGCAGGGTTGATGAGCAAAGGGCCCGGAGTGACCAGCAAACCAGGTCTTAACGTCACCTCAAGTGTTAGCATGTAAGCAAGGAAATGCCTGCAAGGCACCATTATGGAATAAAAACCCTGATCCTTACTAGGAAATCTGTGTGCTGGGATGTCTTTCTCCAGAAAGACAGGCCGGTCAGCCTCACCTTGACCCCTGGGAAGGCAATGGAACAACTAACCCTGGGAACCATTTCCAGGCATGTGAAGGCGACCAGAAGTAGTCAGCATGGATTCACCAAGTTACGCTTGACCAACTTGACAACCTCCTACAATGAAATGACTGGCCTGGTAGGTGAAAGGAGAGCAGTGTGTATCGTTTAGCTTGACTTTGGTCAGGCTTTTGACACTGTGTCCTGTAAGATCCTCCTAGAGAAACTAATGCAGTATGGGCTGGATGAGCAGACAGTCAGGTAGACTGAGAACTGGCTGAAGGGCCAGACCCAGAAGTACAAAGCCTAGTTGGAGGCCAGGAACTAGTGGTGTATCCCAGGGGTCAACACTCGGTTCAATACTGTTCAACATTTTCATTAATGATCCGGGTGACGGGGGAAAGAACCTAACCTCAGAAAGACTGCAAGGAGTGGCTGATACACCAGAGGGTCATGCTGCCATTCAGAGGGACCTCGACAGGACAGAGAAACGGGCAGACAGCAACCTCACGAAGTTCAACAAATCCTGCACTTGGGGAGGAACAACACCATGCACCAGCACGTGTTGAGGGCTCATCAGCTGGAAAGCAGCATTTTTACTATGAAGGTGACCAAGCACTGGAACAGGTTGCCCAGAGAGGTCATGGAGTCTCCATCCTTGGAGACATTCAAAAGGGATCTGGACGTGGTCCTGGACAGCCTGCTCAAGCAGGGAGGCTGGACAGGATGACCTTCAGAGGTTTCTTCCAACCTCAACCATTCTGTGATTCTGTCACCCATGTGTAATTTACTTACTTGAGGAATCTCAGCCAAGACTTTTGGACAATTTCGAGGTTTCCGTAATCTGGGTAAAACACCTCTACTTCTTGGTCATTGATCACACGGTGGATGATAACGCGGTACCACCATTTCAAGACCGCTACACAGCAAAGCTGTCCAGGCTGTACTGAAGACTCAGGCATGATATAACGATCAGAAACAAGTTTATTTGAGTAACAGTGTCTGCAAAAGATCATAACAAAAAACTGTGCTTGGTAGGATGCAGGAGATGAACAAAGAAAAATATACAGGTTTTCAGAAGAATCCTCACTTCTCAAAGTCCCCATGCTATGAATTTCCAGGAGCCGTTTTAACAGACGCTTTACATCTCTGTTCCGCTACACTTAAACTGAAATGACAACAAAAAACGCAAACCCAAACTTTTAACATTTGAATGATATTCTTCTTGAGGTCCAACAAAAAGTTAATTAATAGGGATTAATCAGAGGCTAAATACAGTCATTCTAGTCATTAATTTTTAACATTACCTTGACACGTCAGTGCTTATGAACCAGATTCTGGAGTACTGGCACACATACACAGTACTTGCCTGCAGAGTCTGTAATCACACTTTACGTGTGCCCCACGGACATCAAGCATTTACTTTGGCACACAATTAATGGCAATTGCAGCACCGATGTGGTGGAACAGAATCCCAAATGCATAACGTAACTGACACAAAGCCACTGATGGGGTTTTGCTTTCAAATATAGGTATGACAAAGGCCTATTACCTGTTACTTTTCGGCAAGTGTTGGAGATGGAAGTAAAAGCCTTAACCAAGCATGTTAGCAACAGCAGAACAGACAATAGAGGTGCTAAGGAACCCTGAAGTTCCCTTCTGTAAGCTTTCCAGGATTTTAAAGTTGAGGACTGTCTAGGACACAGCCAAACAACCATGAATTACTATTAACCATACTTTCTGCTTGCCAGTTAACAGGAATGGGTAAGCATTATGAGTACCTGTTTCATTACAGCACTAGCATCTCTATATCAGGCAATCAAGCCAGGAGTGACCGCAACCAACAGCTGGGTGCTGTTCCCTCAGCGCAAACACACACACACACAACGGGCAGTAGCACTGAATCAGCATAGCATGTTCGCACCTCATCTCAAGCATCATATCCTGCAGTTTATCAGATGTTTCCCTGCTACAGATGTGGATGTAGAACTGGCTAGGAGAGACGACAAATTCCACAAAGACTCCCACCAAGCACCTTCTCTCCAGTGGTGGTAAACTGCAAAGGCTTCTGTCCTGAACAGCATCTGGGGGAATTTCTGGAGTCGTTATCAACTTGTCTAGTAGGGACTGCTCCAAATCTTCAGGCTACAAAATGATAAGAGAAATATGGCACTCAGATGTCTCATCATGCACTGAACACACACATATAACTGTCCTTCCCCTTAAGGTAAAAAAAAAAAAGAGTTATGCTTTCCTGGGGACCTGTGAATTACTGAACACCAGAGAATCCTAACAAATTGTGCAAACTTGGATTAAAACTTTCCCCAGGATAGAAGTGTTCATTTTCACGCTCTCTTCCTTCCTTCCTTCTTTCTTCCTTCCAGTGTAAAGAGAGGTGCAACAAAAATACCTTGCTCATATTCCTGCAAGGAATAAAGGAGAGGAATGGAAGTCATGTCACATATTTAGACAAAAGTATTGAATGGCTCTCGCTAAAAAAGCAAAACAAAACAAAACCCAATCCCCCAAAAAAACCCAAATCAAACACAACCCACCTGTTAGTTGGATTTTACCCAAAAGATGCTACTTCTGTGTTCCAGGACCATGAAAGAGTACATGACTGAACCAGCAAAACTCTTATCTATCTGAAAATGATTCAAAAGTGACAGAAGGCACAAATGCATCTCACTTTCACACCAGAGCTATTTCCCAAGGATAGAAACAAACAAAACCTACAAATACTGTTCTGTTCTCACTCCAGACAAATTTGTGCATGAGTGAGCTGTTAGCACAGCTTATGGTTTTGCTTTTTCTTGAACTGCTGAAAGCATTACTCCACTCAAACTAGTGCGGAAGGGAACCCTAATCAGACATCAGCTGCTTTCACTGCCTCAAGAGCTTTCTTTTGTGCCAACAAACAGCAGTCCTCCAGTGATCAGAAGTCAAAATTATTTAAATTTTACCCATTGTGAATATGCTACAAGTTACCACTTCCGTATACATCAGGCAATGTATGGGAAATTTGTCTTCCAGCACACACTCCATTGCTTATATGGCTAAATTTAACTGCAAACAATGAGGGTTTGCCATACTGGCTTTTTTAACTATTTTTTTTAAAAGCAGCAGATAAAAATGTCTCCTTCTGCAAACTGAGCAAGAGCTAACGCCCTTGAAATATATTTTTTTTTTAGTTAAATATTTTGACTAAAACACTGAGTTAAACAGTGAGTTAACATTTTTGACTTACAGAGTAACTGAGGGAATTCTTGCCTGAGCAGCAACATCACCTCTAAAAAACCCTTACGTTTCATGGATTTCCTACAAGATGTGTCTGTGAACAGTGGCATTTCTAAGGGTCAGTTTTGCTCCAAGAACACTCTTCATATCAGACTGTTAAGGGCACACGTGATCTTTATGAAGTAGCTCACACACTGGTAATGATAACAGACATTTCTTTGAAAGACGTAGAAAACGTGTACTTAAAAAAGATGTTCACAAAAAAGCAACAAAGTTACAAAAAGATAAGCCAACAGAACACACTGTAAAACTAAGCTTACAAGAGCTATAGCTTGCAAGACTGGTTAACTCCTTGCCCTAAGCTGGACTGGCAGCTGCCAAGAGTGGTGTGGATAACACCTTTCCTTCTGCTCAGGGCTGTGAGAAAAAGCTGCTGAGAGCAGCACTCTGTATACCTTACCCTTCTCAGCGCCGAGCAGCTCGACTCAGCCCTTGTCCCTCATAACACTTCCACTCTTAAGCCTCTTGTGACCAGATACTTGGATATCTTGCAGCAGAGCGGGGATCAGGTCACATCTTTCCCCTCTACCTTGCAGCATCCCAACGAACAAATGTTCATTGCATACCTGAACTAACACACTCCAACCTGCTTTCCTCCTCTTTAGGGCATTTTTAATACAAAACAGCAAACCTGGTGTTTCATGACAAATACTAGTTGTATAAACATCTTCCAAGACTTACCCTGCTAGTATCTTTAAACAGCTTCCCTTCGCGATACACAAGAACAAAAATCTGGGGCTACCTGGACCATATCTCCCCCCTTTTTTACCGTTCCCACAAGCAGTCTTTCTTTGATCTAGGGGAATTCCCTGTGAACTTCATCACACCAAACTAAAATTTCTTTAAAGAATCAGAACAGCCTGCCCAAAATCTCTGAAGGGTATGTTTTATGAAGCACCACACAAAGTCCAACTCATAGTCCCAGGCTTCCAAGATCATTAGCACACAAAACACCAAAGTCACAAGGAATTCCCAGGACCTTTTCCCTACCTATGCACTCCAACCATACAGTCGCAATGGTCACAAGATGAGCTTGGCAGAGGAAATAACTCTCAGTAGGAGGATTTTCCTGAGAGAAAGAAGGCCTACAGATGCCCAAAAGAAAAAAAAAAAAACAACAGAGGAGGGACAAACAAATTCTCCCCATCAGGTTTGGCAGTTCAGAGCCTCTGTACTGTTCTTCTCCATTTCTTTTAAAAAATACACTGCTAAACAAAACAAACAAACAAACCCCTTACAAACGTAAAAAAAAACCCAAAACAAACAAACAAGAAACGACATTTTCAAAGTCCAACCAAATAGCAGAGACCGCAGGAATCAAGGTCTCCAAGAACCATTCTCCAGATCTGTCACATAGCTGCTTGACACTTAAGCCCTGCCTACCGCAGCAGGGGAAATTCCACACAGCTAGCCTCAAAACAAAGTTATTAAAGTTCAATTACAAGTCAGCACACCAAAAGGTATCACCGCTATCATCAGGGAGCAAGATCATGCTTAACTGACCTCAGATGATCTGCAACATAGATCTCAAGAGCAGAAAGAGACCAGCTATATATAAAGCTATATATCAGGCCAGGATCAGTCTGGTCACCTCTAGACTCATCTAAAACAGGTACAAAAATTTTTGAAAGCAGCAGCGCATCAACAATGCAAACTCGACAGAAACAAAAGCAGTAAAAAGAGTATCACCCCCTGGATCAAGACATGAAAAAGTTACAGATCGCTTGTCCAAGCACTTACTTGTTTGAGGCCATCACCCAGATTTATTGCTTGTGTTTCCACTGGCTTTGACTTCTCTTGTGCTGTCAGGTGGAAGCTCTCCGTCTCACGGCTGGGTTCCAAAGGATGCATCTCAACTGCAGGTGCTGCTGCAAAGACGGTAGTTCAGCCGTTATTCTTTGTTGGACTGATGCAGTGTTACATAGTAAGCAGAAAGAGAAGGTATCTGAAAGTTTGAAAGCACTGGTGCCATTTTCCTTAGCTCTTGTAGCATTCACAGCCACCACAGTCACAAGGATTCACTTGAGGGGCACCCTTCACTGCATTAATAAAACAAAACACAACACACTTGCTCTTGTAAGCATGCTAAGGGTTAAACCAACTGCTTGAATGCTGCTAAAATGACTCTTCCCTAGAAAAGTCAGGAATTTGGCAGGAACTGCATGTGATTTTCTGCCTTCTCCCATAGCTGTTATGGGAACGCTGATGACACCTGCAGTCTCTTCTTTTTTTTTTTTTTTTGTGGAATATTGTAGCTGTGCCTTTCAGGCTACTGCTAAATCCGCAGTCTCAAAAAGCGCATCGGAAAGGCTTTATCAGCCTGCAGAGCAGACGTTCAGGAGATTCTTCTAGTTTTGTGATCCATTGCCTGGAATGACTAGAAATTCCAGGCTAAACATCCCTTCTTCCACCCCACACCAAAAAACAGTGGCAACCTGTAGAAAACTTCCAGTTAAGCTTTCTGCTACTGAGACAACTACCTTGTGACAGCTGCTTCTGCAGCACCCCACAGCCCTTCTTTGCTAAAACCTAGGGGAACCGAGACTACTACAGCAGCTGGAAATGCAGCAACATCCACTTGAAACAGTTGCTTGGCCACAGTGCTTGCAAGAGCTACGTGCTTCCAGGTAAATAACACACCGCCTCACCTTGCAGCACCTCTTCCTTCTCTATCTCACTTGCCAGGTAATTCTTCAGGGTTAGCAAGGAACCTGCTTTTGTCTGCTCAACGACAATGATATCAGACACGCTTCTGAGGACTTCAGACATGGAGAAAAATCCATATTGCCTGTACTGGAACACCCGGCCAAAGCGTCTGAAGAAGGCTTTATCGAAGTCCAAGAGCAGAAGTGGAGAGGAACTCAGCAGATCCTGCAGCTCAGCCTTCATCTGTCAGTGTCAGGACGGGAGCCCTGCCCCTCCGAGGGAAAGTCTGTGGATTCTTAGAGGGAGAAGCAGCACCTGCCTTCACAGCAGCACTCTTCCGTGCCCTAGAACTTCTCCTCTGTCTGGCAACCAGTGCGGCAATTGCTTTGGTGGTCTCATCTGCAACGGCTACAACAGAAAGAAATAAACTATTAGACTACCAAAGCAGTGAACCGTTAAATGCTCTCCACAGGCTCCTGTTCTTTCCTTTCTTTCTTCTTCTCCCCACCCTTTTCAGAAGCAGGTGTCTCCTTCAAAAGCAATCACACTAAATTGTGGCTGATTTCCAGCAGGGCAACTACTTTTCCTCTCCCTCTGCAAACTGGACTGAACCACTTTTAACAGCCGACAGCCAATCTGCACCCTATAAATCCAGACCCAGGTAGGAAGGCAGGTCCAATTCTTGGATCCAGGACCACAACAGGAAACCCAGGTGCTGTGAGTTTTGTTGGGAAAACAGTAAATGGCTCATTGCTCTCCTCAGCCAGAATCACAGTAAACCCTCACTACAGAGCACCCACCTGCTCAGGCAAGGTCTCCCTGGAGAGCAGCCCAGGTCTTTTTCATGCTTTTAAACAACTTTTTCTTGTCTTACTGTAGCACTCTGAAAAATATTATCATTTCACCCCTCCCAATCAACTCTTTGCACCTACCTGTTGAGGTGCACCTAGCTGTTTCCACAGCTCCTCCCCAAAGAAAAGGAAAATGAAAAATGTTCTTTGACACAGACTAAACTTCCCATGGGGTCAGGTAGGGAAGCGTTTACAGCTTCTCCCAAGAGGCCCCATCCCTGGTTTTGGCTCCTGCTGTAGTCTGCATTTACAGGAAAAGCAATGCTTACCACTTCTAGTGTACTCATAAGAAATGTTACTGCAGTTTCTAATTTAAGTGCAGAATGCAAAATGTACAAAAATAGCTAGAAGCCTCGGTTATTTTTCAGGAGGAAAGAGCGGGAAATCATTAAAAGGCAGATCAAAATACAGGAAGAAACATCAAAGACAATAAATTAAACAGAGTTATATGAGAAACAGAATAACGGAGATGTGTGACCTACAGCTCTGGGAATTCATCCTGCACATCCCTGTTCCAGAGCATCACTTCGTACCAGTATGTGGTTCCAAACAAATCCTCTACCCATAAAGAAACAAAACTTCACCTTTGAGGATAAAAGTGCCTTTCTCGTAAGGACAGACTGTGACAACTTCAGGCATATCTGCCACCAGCTCCAAGGTGGATCGGAAGCCCAGGTCACGCAGAGGGAGAGGTTGGCCGATCATGGCCATGTACTCCTGCTCCAGCTCTGCTGGGGTTAAGCCCTCTTTGGCAGCCATTAGCAACGACCTGACCTCTTTCTTCAGCACCTCCATAAGCTGTGCCTTCTTTGGCATGTCGGCACTAAAGGGTAAAGGAAAGCAAGCAGAAAACAACTCATGCCACAGCTGCTCAAACACAGGCAGAAGACTGTTTACCACTTAGCAGCTGAAGGTGGGGGAAAGCGGGCAGCAAGCCAGGTTA